TGAAAATTAATTATGCCGTGCACAAATTTACGGTTGTAAAATCACTAATTCCCATTGCAATTTCAGTACAATGCCATTTAGCTGTATGTCACCGTCTAGACAATCTGCTAATTATTCAAATTGCATGGTGTGCGTGTCTTGTCTGCTTACGCAGATTTTTTTCCCGTGTAGGATTTTAATGATTTTTCCCAGTGTAGAAACCTATTATTTGGCAAAAATACCTCTTCTCCTCATATATATTGTTCTGCATAATTTGCAGGCAATTTCCCGCTTTGTGCACATTCTGAGATGCGACGTTTTTTCTGGAGATGCAGCGCGGTTTCCTGAGACAAATTCCCGGATGTGGTTTCCATATCGATGATCGCCACACATTTTTCACCATTCTGTCCAGCTTTATTGGACTTCTTTTTTCGCAATTTTACCTTTCACGTGCAATTCGACTGTGATTGAATGTGGTAACAAAGGGGATTGCATATCCTTAATTACACTTGATTAATTGTGAACATTTTGTGCCTCTTTGACGATACATCAGCTGTTCTTATCCAACTGTTCGCCGGCACAATAGACAATTACGATGGAATATGGCTCTGTCAGCGCTGAAGCCCACTTCGCATTATATTAACCCATCAACCGCAGGTTTTCAATCCACCTGTGCACGTATTTTGTGGTCACTGGACTGTTCAAATGCCCCATTCTATTCCGCTTTTCACAGAAATCAATAGACAATTGAAGTCCTTCCGACCCATCATCATCAGATGCTGATGAAAGTTTGTAAATGCAGCACTTTTCCACCAACTTACTCTCGGACTTGCGAGAGTGTTTGTGGCACAGATGCTGCATCTGAGGAGGGCTTCTTTCAAAAGGAAGAAGAAGAAAAAAACAGCACCAAAACTAGAAGAAGTTATGTAGAATCAGCAAGCAATTAAACTTTTCGACTTGGCACAAAGACCGTTTGCTATTGGATTGAGTTCAGCATCAAATCAAGAACATTGATAGGCACTGACACAGTTTCAAAGTGAAATAGAACATGAAGTAATTAAATCTGGAAGTTAGTCTGTTTCTCTTTGCCATACAAAATTCGTGAGAAGGAATGTTGATTTTTCAGTGCCAATTTATGATGCTTCACAAAATATCATTTTGTGCATGTTGCCTAATTTAGAACATCGCAACTTCACTAAAAAGCATCGACGAGGGATTTCTGAGAATATTGCTCAATTGCCAGAATGTGAAAAGCTTAACATGGATAATCTGATAATAGCTTAAATCTCTCACCTCCAATTTCCTCACTCTTCAGTCTTCACGGCACCCCCAAAGAGAGCATCCAAGAGGTGAGAATGATTTATGGCTGAGGTGATAAATTTTGCTAAACACACGAACATCCAGAGTATAATATTTTGTGTGGAAAAATATGCGAATCGAACGCATAAAACGAGCAGAGGATATTTCGCTTCAGTGTTATGAAATCACCTTCGGATATCGAAAAGCCAGTCGATAAGTGCCCTGGCAATATAATAGTTTATTTTATACTATCGTGAGAGCCATGGCTTCAAGTATGAATGTGATTACGGATTTATATCCGTGCCACTCATAACTCTCCCTTCACCTCACGAATGGCTCTCTGAAATATCGAGGAGTTTAGCAGCCCAACAGCAAATTGCACTGCAGTTTCGAACCAATAAAATGCCGCACATCCAGCCAATGCTGTTAGGCAGTTCCGTGAGAGATGCATCGGGTGTGAAAATTACCGCATGCGAGAATTTAATGGCGGAGTTTGGATGCAAGGATGAAATGAAATTAAGTCATGCCTCTGGTGTTTGCAATAAAATTGCAACTCCATGCAAATCCAATGTGATTCCTCATTGAATTCCAGGCCGCGATAACCCCTTTTCTTCCTCGGCACTGTGCCAGGAATGGCAGCGGAAGCGGAAGGTGCACAAGTGAGCGAAGGATGTGGCACTGCGAGCGTCTTGACTTGATGAGGTTGGGCAAATCAAATTGCGAAAATCAACGACGGAGGTAATGAAAAAGAAGTACACAAACACACACACTCGATGAGAGACTCCGCTCTTGCCGATGAAATTCAAATATTTGCCCAGACTCTGACCAAATGATCAAGAAGCAATGTTTGGCCGATGGGTGGCCGATCAATGCCCACCCACTCAGTGCCGGAACACCTCTGCAGCGTCCGCCTTGCCGTCGATTGGCATCCATTCTCCGGCAGGACCATAATTTATCTCCTCGGGAGAATGTGCACTGGCTCATGTCCCTTGTCACTCCCAATGTACAATAGCAAGAAAACACACATGCCGAGAGGAAGTTGTCTGCATTATGCTCCTATGCACAGACTGCCGACCGACAAGGACCTCCATCTGGACACACATTCAATTAACAGGATTGTTAGGACGTTATATGATTTGAATTTGTTACTGTGATTTTCCTCAAGGCGCCTTTTGAGGAGCACGTATTCCGAGAAACAGGACATTGATAGACCCAGAAGGGAATTCAAAGGCATAACATTGCTTGCTCAAGTGTTTGTCGAGAAAAAAAAATCACGAAAGCGCTCCTCAATCATGAAACGATTGAATGCTCCAAAGCGGCAATCTTACTTAAAGTGAACTTCACGGCAAATGGAACTTTAATAAGTTTGGCAGTGTGATTTTTTGAAGTTCTTTTCTCCTTTGAATTACCCAAGGGGCAGATATTATGGTCGGAAGTGGTGTACAACTTCACGGAAGTGCTGGAAATGGCAAAATATTTCAAATATTTGCACCACAAAAGCTTCTGTTTTATCAAATTTAGGCATTTTCAAAATTATTTCGCTTAGAAAAATTGATTGAAAAATTGAAAAATGCCTTTAAAGGCATTCAGAAGTGACTGAAGTGTTAAAGATTCTGCACATCTGCTGCAGAAGGCATATTATCTCCCCCTTGGAATTTCCCAAGTCTCAAATTCACTCAAGCGACTAATATGAGCAACTATATTTTCTCGTTAGAGCACGAGTTCATTATTATCATACTGAAAAGAGGCACTTTGTAGGGTCTCTCATTGACTACGAAAGTTGATCATGTTAACTTTCAGATGCGACACTCGCCGGGCTTTAGCCTGTGCTCTTACATAAAGTATATTTCGACAGAATTGGAAATAACGCGAAGGCGGGAAAATGCGGCCATGAAAAGAATATTGCGGGGCTCGATATTGAGGGAAAATCTCGAGCTCCACGTTCCGCCAATAACAATGTTGAGGAAGTTCATTGATAATTTGAATGCTTCGGGGTGAAAGTTTTTGTCTTCATTACACACAACTTTCCCTCGGCTCTCACTATTGTGCGGCATGCGCGTATGTGTGTGTGCACTTGGGGATCTGAGGAGCTCAGAGCGTGCCAAAGTATAATTTACTTGTTCCATAAACGAAAAGTTCCCCATAAAGACAAACTGTTCCCATCTGGCGACTCCTTAACTTCCGCGCGCCGAAGAATCCCTCACCATTGTCCCCACTAATTTATCCGCCTTATTTATGTTGCTGAGACACATGGAGAGATCCTCGTCGGGACGATAGAGTGGTTTAAGTGAGAGAGAGAGAGGATCTTATGCAAAGTTTCCCAGTGTAATTCACCATTAAGACTCCCACAACTATCATTAGGTTGATATTAAATTTTAACTGGAAAATTACTAAATATGAGCAGATGCACAGCTTGGATATTAAGTGGCATCTTATCCTTATCTCCAACTAGATTAAATGAAAATTCCGCTCCGCAACCTCTTGACCTCCCCACCAATCCACCCTCTTTGGTAGTAACGATGGAAAAAATTACACCACAAGTCCTCCCCATTTATCGATGCCAACGCATTCATTTATTATTGAAAGTCTCCATTAAAAATATTGCCTTGTTGAGACATTTTTCCACATTTTCCACAACATTTCGCAACATTTTCATCTCAATTTTTTCCACCACACTCTAATGGTATTATCAGTGAAATATATTTTTCTATTTCCACCAACACTCAGAGCAAAAGCACCGCCTCACTGTGCCTTTTCCACTCCTGGCATTTTCCCTCCGACGGCGACACAGGGATGTAAAAAGTGCATTTTCCTCAGTGTTTTCCCTCTAACGCTTCGGCAAGACAAAGTTGCGATGCCCCTAAAAAGAGGAAGTTACTCATTGAGCATTATTTTGCCAGCGAGAGTGCGAAGTCTTCTGCTATTTTCCCCAAGTCGACTTCCAAGAATCAATTGCAACCGTCATTTATTTTAATCGTCCTTTTAATGTCTCAGCATTCGCGACGACGCCCAAGACAAGGAGAAGCGTCGCGGTTGAAAATGGTGATAAGGAAAATGTCAGTCTGTCGGTGGAATTTATTGAAATTTGCTCCACTCTCTCTCTCTCTCGTCCCGGGGAAGTTGTTTCGCAACTTTCCCACCCCCACCAACTCACCCCTGAACCAGTGCGAGTGAGGAGAATGACTTTTCAGCTTTTTTTTCATGCCTCTGCGAGTCTTTATGAAAATTGCCTTTAATGCGCTAATTTACGTAATTACACGTAAATAATTTATTTTTCTTTAATAACTTTCCAAATTACATTTGCCGTGCGCCACAAAACTCCTGTGAAACACACAAATTTCCACGTGAATTTCGGAGAAAATTATTTTCCACACTCATTTCTCTTCATATTCTTTTGTCGGGGGTTTTTTTTTCCTCATATCTTGGCGAACGTGGAGGCGCAATTAGATGAAGGTTTGTACATTTTAAGTAACGAGTCACCAGTAATTTATTTGCAAAGTTTTTTTTCATTTCGCTAGGGTGAATTTTACAATATCAATAAGGATTTTTTGACGATGCTAGAATTTTATTTAACGCCTCGTGTGTCTAAACAATGACAGTGCTTGATGGCATTCTGGCTGGGCAATTTGCACGTCTATGAAGCATTATAATTGCTAATTTAGCGCCGGTGAAGCGCATAATTTCCATGCTATTGATAGTGACGTCGCAGCGCGATATGATAATTAAGTCAGAAGTCCGCCCTCTGGCTTCATGCCAGACAAATCGCCATAAATGGTGTTCAGCAGGGCAAAGTACGACCAGGAGGCGCTGACGAGGTTTGTGAAGCTCTGCAGCGTGATGTCCCAGAAGTGCATGGCGACGAGTTTCTGCGGGATTTGCGTGTGGTGCAGCACATTGAGCAGCAACTTCCTGAATTTCCGCGACGACGCGTACCATTTGCACTCGTAAGCGGCATCACTGATTGCCTGACTCTGTCTTAGGAAGCGGAAGTGTTGAAATACACATCAACCTAATAATATATATCAATGACTCACATTGTCCACAAGCTCTTGACCGTACCAGCAGAGGAGGAAAATCTGCGCCAACAGAACCATCAGCATCATGACAAACCGCAGCTTCCCGAGACCAGTTTGAATGCCAAAGAGGAATCCTACAATGCAGATATTCACTGTGCTCATGGCGAAGTTGACGAAGATCACATCAGTGAATATCTTATCCATCTGACTGCGAAGCTCCATCAGCATTTGATGCTTCGCAATGCACTTCTTGAGGCGCTCCTCACTCGCTTCCTCGTTCGCGTCCTCAGTGCTCTCTGTTGCGTCCACTGTGTTCTCCATTTCCACACCGAGAAGCTTGTAGTGCAGGCAAATGTGGGAGAGAAGCACGCAGAACAGGGAGTCGAAGCATATTGTGCCAACACTGCCAACATGACTGCCGTAGAACAGGTAGAAGTAGGCCAAGGGATAGGTCACGTCTGTGTGCTTCTCGGACGCTGTTGACCACGTGACGTAGGGCAGGCTGCGCTTTGCCATCTCGCCAGACAAGACTCCGAAGAACCAGATAAGCAGAGGAGTCGTGTTGACACAGAAGAAGCAACTCACGGACAGATAAGCGTATCGAGAGATCCACTTAGTGTTGTACGTCATGTAATCCTCCACGATGTCCTTTTCGGCGGATGTGTGGACCTTTCGTGGCCAGAGTGACTGCAGCAGTGCAATCATCGACGCCAGCTCGTCGCGATAGTACAGCATGATGAATATCTTCATCATGCTGCTGATGAAGTACGTCCCGACGAGGCATTGCGAGAGGATTTCCCAGATGCTCACCGACTTCCTTATTGTCATCACCACGACAAACATGACCGTGTCTGCGGTTAGAAAGATGCCCCAGAAGTAGATCAGGAGAAAGACAAAGTTCTGCCTCAGCAATCCCAGCCATGTCTGCGCCCTGAACTCCTGACACGACGGATAACCTGCAAAAGAGTCCCAGAAAGCTGTTGCGAAACTCCATCGAGTGACTCACGGAGTTTTGTACCAATTGTCGTGAAGATGATGTCAATGAAGGCGATCGTCTTGCGAAAACTTATCCCTCGGACGTCCATGATGTCCTGAATCACTGTACTTCTCGCCCCACACATTGTCTTCCCTTATATACAATGCATTGCCACTAACTTTTGCCATTCGCCCGCCAATAATGAGACACCCCCAGTGTGGGGTGAGGCGCTCGCAAACAAGGTATCATTTCCAAAGTTTCGAGCACCCGCCGGACTAGTGAGTCGATTCAGTTGCATGAAATATTGAAATATGAGGCGAGAGAGTGCATGACAAACAGAACATCACCCACTTGGCAACATTGGAGAACACTTGAAAGTTTTTGCTAACTTTGTCAATTGAAGCCTTCACGGAGTGTATGATTTGGGACTTTTTTGCCTCGTTTCCGCCCACATTGGATGACTGGCTAAATATTAATAGAGCTCTCACAGGAATTCAAGCATCTGACAAACATTTAAATTTTTCAATAAAACGCCCATCAATATCATCAGGACTTTATGCAGTAAGCAACCCCCAAAGACAGTTAATGGGGATGAGAAATAAATAAAAGATTGTTCAAGGACTGTCCGAGGGGAAAGAAGTGAAACTTCTTGCACTGTTGGGCAAACTATTAATATCCCTTCTATTTCTTTCTGACGTTGTCGAAAAAGCTTTAGTTAAAAGCTTCAATTTAAGCTCAATTTGTGCCTTTTTTCCATGGAAACTAAATTATTTAGACGTTTGCTTCTACTCTCCATCCATTCATCTGTGCATATTTTCCAACGTTGTCGTGTCAATTCTCAGAAATGCGACGGATTTGGAAAGGAGATTTCACCGTGAGGAAGTCGCTTTTTTCTGTCAGATCACGTCTTCACCTGTTTCCAATGCGTTTTATGTAAAATTCTTGAATTTTTTCGCATGTTTCCCCACAATTTTTACAAGTAAAATGTAAAATACGGTATTTATCGCACAGTACAGGTTAAATCTCATACTATAAGTAAGCAAAAAAGGTGATTCTGTGCTAAAGTCATCATTTTATCGGCAAACTGTGAACCTGAGACAACTCAGCGATCGAGGCATTTGCCATTGTCGAATATTCAATGGTGAATGTCCAACTGCTTAAGGATGGCTTAAGCTTATAAATAATGCCGCGATGACAGATCAATGGCTGGAGATTGATTCAGCATCGCGAGACTCACAGTCAGATGATCGGTGTCTTCTGCAATCGCACTTTCATATCTCCTTGCTGGTGTGTCGCTCGAAAAGTTCATCCCAGAGAGTGACAATGAACAATTGCCACCGCCTTTGCGCGGAATTCTTGAAGCAATTTCCCCGCAAGAGCTCAGTGTGATGATTAAAAAACTTCTTCGCCGCGCGAGATTTCTAATTTAGATGAGAAACTCTTTCGAATTATGTATGATGAGGATATGCCAATTGACGCGGAAATTCACAACTTTCCGACGGACTGCAGAAGAAGTGCAGATGAATTGAGATTAACTTGTCGCGGTGATGACCTCTTGAAAGGATAAGAAGTTCGCCCGGCGAGTGATTAATACCGATGTCACTTCAGCGCAAGGCTGAAGTCTTCACACCAAGACGACTCTCGTCTCACCGCGAGATTCTTCGTGAGTCATTTAGTGCGAAAGAGTTCAGCATTCGCATATATTTTGTGGTTTTTGATCATTTTCTCTCCTGGAGCATCGCAAAATGCTGCTATAACACATTTTGGGCTGCAAGCATTAATAAAGGGGAAACATGTGCACGTTTTCCATTCGTTTTCGTCACAATAACAATAACAAGTAATACAATCTTATGTTGTTATGCAAAAGAGACATGATTCTGTATTTTCCACTCCCCTGACGCAATCCATCCTCAATCTGCATGACATTTCGATCGCGCATTGGGAAAAGTTGTCAAAGGAAACTTCGGAGCATAAATTTCGGGACATTTTTTCTCTCTCTCTCCAAGATCTAAAAATTCGCATTTTGTCAATTTTCTCAATCCACCTACACACACACGCATCGAATATAAAATTTGCCATGCATAATTCATTCTGTGTGGCGCAATTTGAATACATTTCTGACCCTTAATGCTCAATGGAGATTTTTTTATAATGTTGCAGGTGCTCTCAAAGTTATTCATTAAATATGGTCTTCACGACGCTGTGAAACATCGTGTTGGCAATTTTGACAAGATAGAGAGAGAGGCAGATTTTTGCAATTTTCCATAAAAAGAGCGCCGCGAAGTCATGCAAGTCGCCTCGGGTTCAATTGGCAAAATCGTGGGTGTTGAGGAAATCTCAGCAGATAAGGCCAGCATATGGAAATGGTGCATATAACCACGTTGCCACGGTGAAGGAGTCAAAAGGCCACAACAATTGATTTGAGCTCGTTAGAGTGCCCAAATGAGCTTATTCGGTTATTAACAATGCAATTACTTAGCAGGATAGTTTAATCTGGCCGTGTGGGAGGCCAAACAAGCTCATATTGGCAATAGGGAATTAATTATATGAGATTTCATATCAAGAACTATAATCAGGTCAATATTTGATAAGCCGATGTCCGAGAATCAACACATGTTTCATGCTCATTGGCGATCAATGGAAGAGCTTTCATTCAATGCATCACAGTTCAAAGCTCTCTTAATCTGTGAGTCGTGAGATGATTTTCTGCCTTTCAACCGAATGAGAAACGCTCACTGCGAAATGTCCCATTCAGCAAATAGCGGAGAGAGGCTTCACTTTGAGCACGTATAATTTTGAGCGTCTCTTCCAACCATAACCTCAAAAATATTACTAAGAGATCTTGAAAGACTTCAATTGGAAACTTCCTTAAGTTACCACAAAACTCTAAATTGCTGATTCAGAGTCAAAATCATGCAGAAAGAGACATTTTTCAAGTCCACAATTCACTTCTTGAGGTTATGTTTGACTTCAAGACAATTTACAGTGTTTTTTGGTATCAAACGCATAATTCTACCAATGACTATCAATCTTGGTGACTTTAGCATAAGAATTGATGTGATAGAATACGACATATTCACTGAATCCGTCTGTGATTCGTTACATAACCTAAAAAAGGTTTGTTCCTTTGAACAATTCAAAGGAAATCTAGAAAATCGGGATGATTAAATTAGTCAGTAGAAGTCAGTATTAATCAAAATTCTTGAATGGCAAAATGGCAAATGCAGAAAATCATCAAACATTCCACCGATCTGCTCACAACAGCTCGGCTGTTCTCTATTGTGCCATGCATGGAAAATACCTGGCATTTAGCGAGCAATTAAGCATTAACGGAGAAGAAATAAAAAGTGTGACAAGACTGATTTTTCCAGATTAAATTCCAAATACTGGGGAATATATTCTCTCTTTTTTTCTACACCCCGCCAGCCATGAAAGAGCAGCAGACGTTGGCGGAACTCCTCTTTTTGGCGCGCTCTTGAATTGCAAAGCATATAAATGGCTGGTGCGCGGACAGCGAGAAAAAAGGCCGGCGCACAGATGAAAATGAGAGATTCACACTCATCGTCACGAGGAATTAAAGAAATAAATATTCGGATTTATCCAGCGCGGTGCAAAAAGCATGGGTGGAATAAAAAAGAAGAAAAAGAAAGAGATTTTCACTGTCTGTTTCGTGGCACAAAAGAGAGCTGTTTCGGTGCAAAATTTGAATAAATCGTGATTAGCGGAAGTGATACCCTTTGTCTGGGATAATGCAATTCAGCATTATTGTTATTTGCCCTCCCTTTCGCGCGCGCGCGCGCTATTTTGAAAGTAAATCGCGAAACTATTTCACATTTGCAGCCACTTGAGGCATGGTAGCGACAGAGATGGGATACCGAATGGTGGAATAAATGCAACACTGAATGTCTTAGCAATTTTGCCGCGCTGGCATTTGGATGCATAATCAGCTAAAGGCCACTAAATAATGCAACACTGTGCGCACTGCGTCTCAAGGAGGATTTCTTGGGCATATTATGTCAATGCGGAGAAGTGGGAAATTGAGTGCGATGTCCGGGAAAGTGGGTGGAAAAGTTCTGTGTGTGGCGGACGGGGTGAAGAAATAAATTAATGGCTGATAAAATTATATGAGGTCGTTCAATTTGCTGGCATAGCCCAGCACGGAATTAGCGTCAGGGAGTCACTTTGTAATTCACAGACGGTGAGTCTTATGGCGTACACATCGTGAAAGGAGGACGAGGAGACACGGCGAATTAGAGCTCGGCAGACAGGAAACTTGCCACCCAACAGGAGGATGTCCGCCTTCATGGGGACACAAAGCAACTTGTCTCTTTAACTCCCAAGCAATTTGTCAGTTCGCCCGGAAATCGCATTGTTCCTCAGCACACCCTGTCTTCACTAATTTATTATGCACAACACGACACTACTTAATATTCTCCATCTATGACGGTCAATATACAAAGTTATGATACAAATTTATTTGATTATACATCAAACTTTCAAACCACTAACACACAAGGCTCACGCTGAATTTATATTAATAGCATTACAATTTTCCTCTGTGTGGCAAAAAGGAAACTTTCTTGCACGCGACAAAGCGGATCCATTAGGATTCTGCGTGATGTCCCTTCGCACCTTCCCTTTCACGGTGGCCAATTGAGATGCAAATGAAATTATTGAAATCCCCATTAGGTAGGATAATATCAAAGGATTCACACCGTGAGAGATTCCATGAAGATTCTGCTGAAGTTGCCACAAAAGTGCTTCACCTGCGGAGTTCGTGATGATCCGGCAATTTCACTAACTTTCCCACTGAATGACTCAGAAGATTGAAATGGAGATTTGTTTGACTTTGAAGAAAGTCAAGTGAAATTCTTGTCGGTGCAGAAGTCTTTGGCCTCCTGGAATATTTGCAATTCGGTTAGAGAATTTTAGGCATTTCTCCTCTCAAAATATGAACTCCAAATTGCAATGTATGCAAGATTAATAAGCGCAGCACCAGAAATCCCAACAAGACATTATCGATTTTGACCAACAAGGAGTGGTCTAAAATTCCCACAATGTTTTACAAAGTAGTAGATAATTTAAATATCTATCATTTGAGCCCAATTTGGGGGAAATCCGTGGATAATTGGGCGAGATATGAGA